TTCAAGCTGTCATTGACAACAAAGGCTTTTGTATGTTAAGTATTAGATAAATTTCAGTGTGTTCAATACTTTTTCCCTGTGCCATTCCACATTATTACAAATAACTTCCNCTAATGACACCAGCAATTCTCTGCCTGATACTGTCACTTACCACTCAGTAGTGTGACTCATTTAATCTGAATGGTTTCAGATTCAGTCTGAATTTCAAATTATCCGCTTATGTTATATAACATTTTGTTTTCTTTGATGTATTTTTGAGAGAATTTCCTGTGACTCTTAATGATTCTAATGAAGAACCCCATTGTTTGACATGYTAATGACATACATGAGTTTGTCTTCATTACATCCTTGTTAAGCAAATATAGCAAATTGTGTGCAAATAAATGACAGTGCATTTTTGAGTATAAGAAGTTCTGATTGTACTTTGTGCATTTTATTGCTTAAATTGTTTGGTTGTGTTTAAGAGAGAAGCGTTTTGCATTTATGWCTTTCTCTGACAAACAGCCTGATGTTTCTGGACAACTCATCGTTTTCTGTGACGTCACGTCGACCACAACTGATACATTTGAAAGAGGAGCTYATTTGGACACAAGCTGGGGCCTAASAATWRAGCATTAGATCGTCTGCGTAACATTGTACAGGGCTGAAACACACTGAAACACCTCATTGCTTGAGGTCAGCACAGTGATTGAAAAAGTTTTCTGTTTTTTTTTCTTTTTACTCCCAGAATGCAAACTTGTGAACAGCTAAATGCAAAATGCCAAAAAAGAAATCTAAAAATGTTGAATGAAGAATATTGTACATATTTATGTTTTAAAATCAAGGCTCTTCATCCTTTTAAAAATTTCATATTGCGCTTCTATTAGCCTTTTTTCAATTCATGTCCAGATTTGTCAGTATGTTTGATTGTTAGATTAAAGAAGCCTTTGCCATTAGAAATGTAAATGATATAATTCATGACTTAAAATTTAGTGCAGTCTCAACAAAGTGGATTGGATCGTGTGGCCGACCAAAGCATTTGAGTTCTAAGTACCTTGAAACCTGGTCAAATTAAAAGTGGGTGTCTGACAAGCACTAAGGCTTCAAAATGAAAACTCAGTAACTGTGTTTTAAAAAAAAACTGATAGATGAATAAAGTTTTATGCGGGTTTATAAAACAGAACAACAGAAGTGATGCTGGAATGAAGAAGCAATAAAACCCAGACTGTTYGGTTGTTACATTTTCTTCAGTCAGGCTAAAAAGAGACAAGCAAGTGATGATTTAGTGTCCCATTGAAATTAATATTCCCCTTCTTTGCCATTTTTTCCCCTTTTGTTAGGTTGCCACCTGGTAACAAAACTGATTTAGATTTATGTCCATACCGCAAGGCAGAATTCTTAAAACTGTTTCCATTTGGATGGTTCAGCTAGTTTTTGTCAGTCTTTAAGCCATCACAAAAACTCTAAGTCTAATTAAGGTTTGTGCTGTGATCAGAGCACAGTAGGACTTTTGAAATGTGTTTTTTATCCYGCCTTAGTGTTGCTGTAGAGATGAACCGTTGTTCAAATTCCATGGATGACTGAAATAGGTTTTACWGAAAAGAAAAATGCAGGCATTTAACATGATTATTCGTTTCATCAGTCATGGGCTAACTTGTCCTGCTCCAACAACCAATGTTTTCTTTGAACAAATTTGTTCTGGCCACATTCACATTTTTATCAGATAAACATCTCKAAGATCAGACAGTTCAGTATGGAGGAGTTAAAAGTTACTTTTGACCTTTTTGTTATTGCTCTAATTGTATTGGTTTTGATTATTTACCCATTTAGAAGGCCTGGGAAGCATTTAGTTGTCGCCAAATTATTTGCGTATTATAAAACTGGGTGCATTTGGCCGGCAGCCTGGTGGAGCAGGGGCTTAGAGTCACATCATAGAAAGAGGGTCTCAGATTCAAAACCTGCCTGTGGTTTACTGTTTGGAGTTTGCATGGGTTTTCTCTGGGTACTCCAGTTTCCTCTCACAGACCATAAACATTCAGGTTATGTCTCTAAACTGTCACTAGGTACAGGTGTAAGTGCACGTGTGAATAGTTTTTTCTGTCTCTTTCGTCTCCTTGTGACTCTGTGGTGGGCTGGTGACCAGAGTGTCTCCTGACTGGTGGAAATAAGCAACAGCTGCCCGTGACCCTGCAGGGAAAAGTAGGAAATTACTGTATTCGGTGGTTTAGTAGAAGTTTTTTAAAAAAATGGTATAATTAGCCTTTTTTTGGACATATTTTTGTTTGTTTGTTTGTTTGTTTGTTTGTTTGTTTGTTTGTTTGTTTGTTTGTTTGTTTGGGGAAAAACTGATGAAGCTTGGCTGGAGCATAGACCAGCATGCATTGGCTAGGATAAAGAAAAGGTTGTCAGTCAATTAGAGCTATCTAACAGCACCTGATACTAATTAGAAATTTCTCTTATTAGTCAGAAAACATATTTATGCAACACCCCTTATTTTCTTTTTCTCATAATTGTCACTCATTGCCAAGGCGGAGGACATAGAAATGCTGTCCTTCTGTTATCCGTTCGGGATGGGGGGACATTGCGGCGGTTGGCGTAGAGTTATATCTTGTTTGTTTAAAACATAAAACATATTCTCTCAAATTTGGAGAATTGTGTGTTGGTCGTACACCCCATTTTTGACCATTTTCTTGGTACACACAGCCTGTTGAGGACCCACTGTTTCTAATGGGGACAAAAGTCTGGTCACCATTGGGGGAAATAGCATTGTTGGGTCCAGGGTTTGATTCAGGTCTAACATGTGAATTGAGTTTAGGTTATGTTTAGGGTCAGGTATGTAGTGTACCTGTCAGGTTAGATTTAGGGCAKGGGTGCCCAAACATTTTGTCACATGGGCCAAAATCATAAAGTCAGAAGGACTTGAGGGCCAAAAATATGTCTCCTTTACCTGCTCAACAATAAACTTAGCATTATTCAATATTGTACAATAAACTAACAAAGTAGTCAGAATTATTGCTGGAAAATGATGCGTAAATAGATCCAGAACTTGAAAAGTGTTTTGCAGGTTTCCCTTATTGAAAGAAATTTTGCAATTTTCTAGGTTTCAATAGAGGGAACAAATAACCCAATTTAGTCAATTCYGATCAATAAAATYAGGATTTAGGTCACTTTTTCATTGGAAATGCTTGCTTTATTCAGACCAATTTAAAGGGATCCCTGATTAATTGTAACATTTGGGTTTATTTTATAAACATTCATTTTAACTGTAAAATAAAGACAGTAAAAATACTGTAGGCCGTTTAGTTTTGTAAATTTCTTAAAATATATTTTGACACGGATGGAGCCATTTTATTTACACACAAAGCATTCTGGGTAAATGATGAYGTGGAYAGGTCCTTGGTGTGAGCGAGCTATATCCACCCTGAAGGTTAATCTTGGACAATACCTGACGATCGACTCTTTTAAATGAAACCAGAGAGCGTTGACAGAGAGGAGAAGGTAGAAACGATTCAGTCTACAACTGAAAATATAGATGGAGGACAACAGAGCWGCTTCRTGGAAGAACCTCAGCTTAGCCTGTTAGCCTTTGCACTAGCGCCAACGCTATATTACCTTACATATATTAGATCGGAGCTAGGCCACACAAAATGAGTTCAGGGGCCACAAATGGACCCCGGGCCACATTTAGGACATCCCTGGTTTAGGGTTAGGGGTCAGGGTTAGGCTATAGTAATGACAGTTAAATGAATGGAAGTCAATGCAAAGTCCCCATGAGGATAGAAGAACAAACACACACAAAATATTAATTTAAATTACAAGTTTCAGGAAAGCTATATTGAATATTGAATAAAATGTTGTAAATTTTATACAGAAAGCTTAACTCTGTGATATTAAACAATGAGTTGATTTTTTATCAGCTATTCTACCTTGCAATCAAAAAAATAAATAAATAAAATAAAACTTATTAAAATCTGCTCATGTCAAATATAAAATATTATACAGGACCCCCAACTTCCCCATGTATACATCTGGTGGTGTGACTGTGGTGGTTTGGAGAGACTATAGGTGCAGAATGGCAGCTACACGTCCACCACTGAGTGTGACTGAGGAGTGAATGAACAATACACGAAAGTGTAAAGTGTCTTTAAGCGTCTTGAAAGGTAAAACATTATTATTGTAAATTTGAAGTTACTGATCTGTCCAACAAACTTTTCCTAATTATTCTCAACGACACGCAAGTGAAATGCATTGTTAAAAAAATTATCAAAATTTGATCAGTACTTAATTATTGTTGAAAGCATATACTCCAGTACTTTAACTTAAGTAATAATTTAACGGAGCTACTTTTACTTTTATTGGAGTAATATTTGACCTGTAGGATCATGACTCAAGTAAAGGACTAGTACTTTGTCCACCACTGGTCAGTATTGGTTTCCAGGCTGTCATTTTTTTTTCCTGAATTTTTGTTGTTGGTAAACTGTTGAAAAGAAAACAAAAAATCCTTTTGCCTTTTGATATATGGGTAGTTCAGAAAAATGGGAAACATGTTTGTGTCATAGTCCAAGCACACTGTTGTACTTTATTTGTTGAGGAGCTATCTGTTTCCCTGTGAAAGGAAATCCCTGAGACTGTACTGGCTCCTGTGGTCCTCAAACTAACAATGAGTGTTTTCAGAGGGCTTTTCGTGAAATACCTCCGGTAAAAGACAACAGCAGACTTCAGGAGCCAACCTACTTATACTGTAATTTTGTAGACAGAGTCTGAACCCAAATTTAAAACAAAATAAAAGCAGTCTGTCAAGCTGAACATATCAAACAGGGACTGCATACTGCAATCCAGTCACAATCTTTTAGTAACGTGTTAGAGGGTAATAAAAAAAACAAGAGGTTTTATTGTGTGATGTTTTAAGATACATCACCGACTTCTTCTGTGAAACAGATAAGTGGAAGTGGGTTATTGGTGTCTATTGAACTAAAGGGTTTTCCCCTTTTTTTCTATATTGGGAAATTCAGGTTTTTAAAAGCTGCCCAGAAACACAGGAGGGCCAACAAATCTGAAGCAAATTCACAAGGTAAGATGACTTCGGACTGAGGTGTTCATCAGACTTTATAAAAAAAGATAGGCTTATACAGTTGTATTATTATTATTATTATTATTATTATTATTATTATTATTATTATTATTATTATTATTATTATTATTATTATTTATTAAATGTTTAAATGTGATGTGCTGTTCATAATATATTATTCTACTTAAAGATAAATTGAAGTTTTAATATTTTCAGTTAGCAGTTTGTTTACACTTTGTTTCTTGGGTTAATTTGACACTGATCAAAGTAAACGTATAACTTTTTCCAAAACCAGTATTAAGGCTCCAGGTAAATGTAAACATTTTAAGCATGCATATTGTAAAAATAATTTGTACTACTGTTAATCCTTTGATTTATTTTTTGTTTCCAACATGTTCTCTCTTTTTTTGCATCCTCCAGATGAGGGTCGTTGTCTTTAGTATTCTCTGTGCGTTCGTACAATTCAGCTGCCTGAATTCCAGGAGACACTGGACTCTGCTGCCCAACAGTAAGTTGGATTTTTGCCTGAAAAGAAACACTTTATTTACAATTTTTTTTGTAAACATAAAGCAAGTTTTACTTGTAGTTTTAAAACAGGTGATTGTTTTCTAAGTACCTGAAATGGTTTTCTTT